TTATGAGGAGAGGTTAGCTGAGCTGAATCTGTTTAGCCTCGAGCAAAGGAGACTAAGCGGGGGACATGATCCAGATATATAAGATTCTATCAGGTCTGGATGCTGTTCAGCCAAATGGCTATTTCAATATTAGTTTAAATACTAGAACTCATGGTCATAGGTGGAAATTAGCGGGAGAACATTTTAAAACAAATTTGAGGAAGAACTTCTTTACACAGCGTGTAGTTAGAATATGGAATAGTCTTCCTGCTTATGTAGCGCAAGCTAAAGCCCTGGGTTCCTTTAAATCAGAGCTAGATAAGATTTTAACAACTTTGAGCTATTAGTTAAGTTCTCCCCAAACGAACTTGATGGGCCGAATGGGCTCCTCTCGTTTGTAAATTTCTGATGTTCTTATGTTAACTGTGCAAGAAAACAAGTGTTTAGGCTGTATGTCGATGCTCACAATATTCAACTTGAGGATATGAATGTTCATAATGAAGATACAATATATTATTGATATATCACCTATCTGTCAGGAATCCGGGCGGCTCGGGTGCGGGAACGAGGCATGGTGCAGGCACAGAAAGGATGGCGAACGACCCACTTGCGGCTCCAAGAACAGAAAGGGGTTTATTAAACAAAACAGAAAAAAAACTACAAAACCAAAAAGGACCACGAGGGGTCAAAAACTGAAGGGGCTTAAACTAAGACTAAACAGGGCAGGGAAACATAATACAGATCAAACACCGAAAATAGCAAAACCATTGAACATCTCAAAGAACTACAACGCACACGCACAACAACTACTACAGAACACAATGAACCACTCAGGAACTAAACAGAAGCAGGAACTAAAATACTAAAGGGGTAAAGAGACTAACACAGGACAGGTGAGGCTAATTAACAAAGACCAGGGAAACAGGGCACAGGTGAAACTAATAAACTCAAAGGAACTAAACAGGGAAACTAAGAACTAACCAAGGAAACATAAACCAACACTAGGGACTTAAACAGGTAAAGACACAAGCAGGGGCACAAGGAACAAAACCAAACCAACTACAAAATCAGACACAAGGACTAAAGAAACTCAAATGAAACATTAGGGAGCAAAATACAAAAACAGGAGGTGGGATTCAAACATAGGACAGAAGAGTACTCAGGACTGAAGGGTACACAGTAGGGGTGTGCATTGGCACTGCCCTCACGATTCGATTCGATTATGATTCACCAGGTAACGATTCGATTCAATTCGATTCTATGATGCATTGCGATCCATCAAAATTCTACTGC